ATTGGAACCTCACGCCTGATTTGCTTTCTTCTGGATGGCTGGCAGGTGTGAATGTCTTTGTCGCGGCTCCTTCGAGGCCCACATGTTTATCGGAGCAGCCTGGCAGTGTCATTGATTACGTTCTGGTGTGCGCCAACTTGGGAACTCGAGTTCGACGGCCTCAGGTGGTTGACGACAGTAATATCAAAGTTCACTTACCTGTGGAGTTGCCCGTGTTAGCTGAAGACAGGCCAGCATGGGTTCGACAGGTGGTGGAGCCAGCTCCATTCTCGAGGACGCCGCCTATCGGACGTGAGAGATTTCCATTGGATTGGAGCGAGGTTGAACGGCAAGTTTTTTATGCTCAAACCAGCGACGACTTGAGCTTGGCTTGGGACGCGTTGCTGGCTGGCCTGGAATCCGAATTGGAGGGTGTCTATGATTGTGTAGATGGAGTAAAGGCTTCGTCGACGTCTGGGCGTGGTGGCCCTATACTTACCCAGATGGCACAGGCCAAGTGGCGACCTCCTCTTCGACGGTTGCATCATGGTCCTGAGCTACGGGCGTGGATTGTTGCTCTAAGGTGGGTCTTCCATTGCAGGGGAGTCAAAGAGCACGTCGCCAAGTTGGTTGACAAGCTTCTGATTTGGCGGGACGGGGACAGACTTGTGAATGTTCGGGCCGATCACTCTGCGCTGGCGAAGGTGCTGGTGGAATTCGCTCGGTTTATGCATGGAGTTCGCGGTTGTGAAAGTACTCTGCAAGCTCTACCTGCATGGGTTTCTGAATTTTTCTTGCCGTCATCTTGCTTTGATTTACTGGCGCGTGATGATTTTGACCAGGTGGTTGCCAACCTTCAAGGTGCTCATGATCGCCTGTTATCTGCTCATGAGAAGTGTGATCGTGCTCGATGGAAGAGGTTCGTGGATTCAGCCTTTGTGAAAGGGGCTAGTGGTGCACATCGGTTCACTCGGTTACAGGCGACCCAGGAGATCATCGAGGCAGGCAGTGAGCAATCACCACACGAGTTGGCTGATCGTGAAATGAAAAAGTGGTTGAAGGTGTGGACGGTGCATGAGGACAGCGAGATCTTGTTGCCGTCCGACAGTGCCAGTTGGCCTTCTCTGCCCCATATCACCACGGACATGCTGGTTCATGCTATCCTCTCGTTCAAGTGGAAAACGACAGCTGGTCCGTCGAAGCTGCAGCCTAGATCGTTGTGGTTCTTATCGCGCGAGGCTTTTCGAGCCATGGCCTCTTTCTTCATGAAGTGCGAGGGTTTGCTACTATGGCCAGTGGATCGTATTCACGCTGAGATGGCTACGATTCCGAAGGAAGGAGGCGGAACCCGACTGGTGGCTCTCATACACACGTTGATACGTGTCTGGGCGAGAGTCCGAAGACCACTTTCAAGGCAATGGGTGCATCAGTTTCCATCGGAGATGGTCTGGGGCAATAGGAAGGGGTACTCGTCGTCGGGGTCTGCCTTCATGCATAACGCGATGACGGAGATGTCTAAGCTGCTGGGCGAGCATTCGCCCACGGTTATGATGGACATGTGGAAGTGCTTCGACACGGTCAATGTCAGCAGTCGGTTTAGTGCGGCTCGAGAAGTTGGCTACCTTTTGCGATTGCTTTGGCAGTTGGTGACTTCTTACAAAATGCCTCGGGCTGTGAAAGCGTTTGGGTCGGTGTCAGTCCTACACGAAGTGGGGCAGGGTATCTTGCCTGGATGCACTCACGCCACGACGCTGCTGACGGTGTTGATGATTCGTACGTTGATTAGTGTGAAGGAGATTTGTCCGACTATTCACCCTCGGGCTCTTGTGGACGACGGAACATTGCAGTGGGTGGGGCAGGACTTGCAAGAAATGGTTGAGCTGGTCAAGGCTACTCGCATTTTCAAGAGTGGCATGAGAAGGCTCTGCCTGCTGGTCCAGCCCGTCAAGTCGGGCTACGTGGGCACCACCAGAGAGGCGCTCAAGAAGTTTTCTCCGTGGGCCAAGGTGCTTAGGCTCACTCAGAGGAAGCAGATGCGCAATTTAGGACATGCTATGGTAGGGGGGCGTGTGATGCGAACGGTTGCTAAAGGTCGTCTGGATAAACTGCAGAAACGAATGGGGCGCGTCAAGGTGCTCCAGAAGGCTGCTGGATCCAAGGTGGGGGCCTTTTGGCGGTCTGGGCTGCTGGCAGGGGCCGCGCACGACAGCTCTGTCTCGGGCGTCCCTGACTGTGACCTGAAGCAGCTCAGGCAGACGGCTGGGGTTATCGCTGGGGTTCACGCCAAAGGAGTCAGTGTCACGGCCTACTTGGCGTCTCAGCGTGACCCGTACATGGACCCGACCTTCGATGCGACACTCAACATGGTGTATATGTACTGCTGTTTCGTGTTCGACATGAGGATGCACATGGGCAAGCTCGAGCGGGCTTGGCGTGTACTCAAAGATCTGTGGCATGGACGTGATCCAGGCTGGCAGGGAGTTCGAGGACCGATAGCTGCGACCTGGCTGTCATTGAGAAGAGTAGGCTGGGAGATGGCTATCAGCACGCTTATCGTCAGTGACACGGGCATGGTGATTTCGCTGCTGAAGATGCCTCCCAAGGATGTTCGAAAGTTGTTGCGCCTTGGAGTTCAACGGTGGCAAGGCCGAAGAATTCTGGAGCATCATGCTGAACACCTGGAGGGAGGCGAGTCCTTGTGGATGCGAGCTGTGCATCTTGCCGTTGGTGGTAAGGCAGCCACCATCAAGAACGCACAGGTCGCGGGTGCCCTTCGCTGCCTTTGGGCTGGTGGCTACATGACTGTGCAGAAGCGGCATCAAAGAGGATGGTTGCTTACGCCACACTGCCCACATCCTGACTGTCGTGAACTACGTGCTGTCGGAGATCTTGGTCATCTTTGGTACGCTTGTCCGAATTTGCTTGAACAGAATGATGCTGGCGGTCTGCCAGCCTGGTCTGAGGAGATGGAAAAAACGCGTGATCGTCTGTCTGAGGAGGGAGTCAATGTCATGGGGCAGGACTGTTTTCACCTGCTGAAGTTTTGTATTGGGCTCCCCCAGGCTCCTCCTGATCTCCCCCCTCCGTCCTCCGAGCCTCCCACCTTCTTCTGGGGGGGGGGGGCTGGGGGTCGAAGCCTGAGGGGTGGGGTCCCACTGCCTTCTTTGATGGGTCTGGGATGCACAGCGCCTGGCCTGAATTCAGGCGATGCGGATGGTCGGCTGTTCAGATGGGAGAGTTTGGCCTCCCTGTTCGTGCGGCCTACGGTCCGCTCCCAGGCCCCATTCAGTCTGTAGGCAGAGCTGAAAGACATGCGCTCTTGCGGGGGCTCCAGTTGTTGCCGCGTTTAGTGCTTTCCGTCTCGGATCTCCTTGGGGCCGTGCGTGAGGGGGTTGAATGGTCTCCTGAGCATGCGTCTGCCGCGTCCGCCCACGCTGATATCTGGAGGCAACTTTTTAGCGTTGCTCAGGGGAGGGAGAACCCGAAGGCTCCCATGTATGAATGGGTGCCTGCTCATCTCTCTCTGGAGGAGTTTCTTGAGCGAGGACAATGGCCCGTGTCTAGGTGGTTTGGCAATATGTGGGCGGATTTCTTCGCCAAGATGGGGGCCTGCTCGCGCAAGGTAGCTGACTCTTTTGTTGATTACTGGTCTGATCAGCTTGCCATTGGCAGGAATAATGCGAAGTTTTTTGGCTGGGCTGCTGCCCAGCATGCGGCGCATAGAGGAGTTGTGGGTGCGCAGCTGGAGGCCCTTCGGGAGAGGGACATCCCTAGGCCTTCTGCTGAAGTTGCCCGCTCCCTACGTGCGCCCCCCCTTCTCCGTTTCCAGGAACATGTGTTCTGGCGATCTGGTGATTTCATGGTCTGTCGATCCTGCCTGGCCAGGGCGAGAGCGGAGGCGTCGCGTAAATGGCTCACTCAAGGCAGTGGGCGAGAGTGTAACCCCATCCCCTTTGCAGCGAGAGCGTGCCCGCCTGGCTTTTTCTAAAGGTGGTTTGTATGCCGCTGCGTTCCCCCTGGCCAGGCCAGAGGCGGTCCAGTCTGCGTTGTCTGGCGCGTTGGAGGTCCTGGGGCCCGAGGTTTCTGGGGCTGTGCCCGCGTCTAGCTCTGGTGTGCCTGGGTCTGGATCGGTCTCGGAGCCCAGGCCTGGGGGGGGGATGGGGAGTGTGAGTTTCAGGTTTTCACTTCTCTGGGGCACGTGATGGAGCGTGCAGGCCCATGCATCTTCTGCGCGGCGTGCGGGTCGTATTGTGCTCAGAGGATGGGGCCCAGGCTGCGTTCGGTGTGCAAGCCCCCGAGTTCGGGGGTGCTGCCTGATCGGGTGAGGAAGTATCTTGCGAACATCCGTGATGGCCTGCACCCGAAGTCTGGTTTAAAGCTCTCAGGGGCCGCCCCCCAGGAGTGATTTTGTTGGCCCCGTCCCCCCCCGTCGTCGTCGTGTCGCCTCCCCCCGCCGCGTGCGTCTTCTATTTCGGCGCGTTCAAGGCGCTGGAGGTCCAGGCGCCGACGCGCGGTCGGGTAAGGGGGCGGGGCGCTCTCTCTCTTTTATCATCAGGGCGCCTGCGGGTAACTTGCTGGCGTCTCTTGGTCTTGTATCTCTTGTACCTCCTCCTCCTCCTCCTCCTCCTCCTCCTCCTCCTCCACCTCCTCCCCCTCCCCCTCCCCCTCTCCCGGCCCCGCTGGAGATAGTCCAGAGCCCCTCCGGCCCGTCGCTGCCGCAGCGCCCCGCCGCGCCCGCCGCCGCACCCGTCGCCGCCCCTGTTCGAGCACACTTTGTGCGCCCTGCGGGGGCGGAAGGGTCAGGGGCGGCCTAACCGACCCCTAGCAAACCATCCCTTTCCGTGACGTCCTCCTCGCCTTGCCCCAAAGCGTACCTACGCGGCCAGAGGGAAGCCTGGAAGGCGAGGATGACGTCACGGAAGGGGATGGCTTGCTAGGGGTCGATTAGGCTGCGCCCGACACGGGGGCCTCGGCCGGGCGCGGGCGTGGGCGAGAGGCCGCCCGGGCAGCCGGCTTGCAGCCGCGCCCGGCCCTCCCGCCCCTGAGGGGCATATCGATAGGTGGAGGGGGGCGTTTGCCAAGGATTGTGCCCAGGAGGCTGCAGACCCTGGAGGATTCCTTGTCTGATGAGGGCGGCGGTGTCGTCCACGGCCGATCCACGATGGGAGTTCCACTGGCCCTCAGACCCGAGGTTCCTTGTCCAGTGGTTGCCTATCCAATGCCAATGCTCTCGCCGCAGAGGGTGGGGGGTGGGCTCGAGGCTTCGAGGTCCAGAGGTTTCTCGGACGGCTTTGTCGCTTCTCGGCGGTCTGCCAGCGTCGAGATGCCTTCCAGCAGCCGCGCCTCGCCGGAAGCGTTCTCTGGGGGTGCCTGGGTCGCCCCGAACGGCCGCGAGCAGCCGCGCCTCGCCGAGAGGTTTCTCGGCCGGTGTTGTCGTTTCTCGGCGGTCTGCCGGCGTCGAGATGCCCTCCAGCAGCCGCAGCCTCGCCGAGAGCGTTCCCTGGGGGTGCCCGGAGCGCCCCGAGCGGCCGCCGGAGATCCGACGTCTGGCCCGAAAGCCGAGAGCAGCTGCAGGGGGGGGGGGAGACGTTCCGGGTCGGCGGCGAGCGAGGAGGAGGAGGAGGAGGAGGAG